CAGCGGCTGGTGCCGGGGCGTGTCTTCGCAAGGCCTGCTCCACCTTAGGCCTGCAAATGAGCACCCAGCTCAGATGAGACCAGGCCCCATGTGCCTTATCCTTCCTGCCCCCACAGGTGCTAAACGGGGTACCCCCTGTGCCCCCCACCTCCCTGTACCCCCACGCCCGCTCGGCCCTGGCACAAACTGAAGATCAAACACCATGTAGGGCACCCAGCGCCCCTGGCTCTCTTGTGGCAATTGCTGCACACTAGCATGTGAGCAGCTCGTCTTCCCCTGCCCCGAGGTGCGCTAGAGCGTGCGGCTGTTTGCACGAGGGGTGTCCGTGCGGCAGAGTAGGAGGGGGGCAAATGTCCTGTGTCTAACACCACAAACACCAGCCTTTCCCAACCGCCCAGGCTGTTTGGGGCAGGGTGTGTCAGACAGGGCGTCCGGGCGGGCCAGGCTGGAGGAGGGCCAAGAGATAGTGACTCTGCAGTGGAAAGTCTGGTGGCTCTGGCATGGCCAGTGACCACAGCAGTCCCAAAATAGCGGCTGGCAGTCACACAACGAGCAGCGCTTCCTTGCCCTCTGGGCGGCTTGTCTGGCTGCTGGCGTCTGGCCGTGCACCCGGCCCTGCTGCCGGCTCGCGTACCTTGTACAAGGCAAACACGCGAGGCCCCCGGGGTGCGAAGGACACACAAGCGGTGCTCTGTGGAGAGCACAGGGTGCGAGCGCCACTCGGCACTAGCAGCCATCTTGGGCTAACTCACAGGCGCGCCTCTGCGGACAGAGCCCCTGACTCTTAAGGGTGCAGCCCCTAGAAAATAGCCCCCCTGTGCCACGGGGGTCTCACCTCTGCCTGCAGAGAGCCACCTGGGGGGCGCGCTGCCTCCTGCAGTTCCCTCTCGGCAGAGCACGGGCCTTGCACCGGACGGGGTTCCCAGCACTGCTGCGCATGCTCTGCCCGTCAGGCCTCGCTCTGTGCCTGAGCACAGCCAACGAGTCGGGTAAAATGAACTCGGCTGAGCCGTCCTGCACAACTGTGCAACAGAAAGAAGGGATTTCGTCCCACAGCGAGGGTAATTCCCACCCTTGTGTGAAAGTGCACACCCGTCACTAGGTGCACACGCGTGTGCTCACTGCTGGTGGCGGGCTTGGGGGCTGCACGAGGGGGCCCAGGTTTGCACAAGGCTGCCGGGTGGCTATTTGCCCATGCGGGATGAGGGTGACAGTCCCTGCCCTCGGGAGCGTCCATGCCTGTTTTACATGCAGAACTTTTCGTCCCATGAGCCCGGTTCCTTTGCCCCGTCCGTCTGCATTCCCTGGAGCCCAGCCCCCCCGCCCGGAGGGAAGGTGGAAGGTGTGGGGCAGGGTACCGTAGGGCCAGGCCCTGTCTGACGGGGGAATGTAGCGCCTGCTGATTTCCCAAGGGCCAGCGGCGCGTCTGGATCCGGTCTCTCCCCGTGGCCGCGCGGCGCGCTGCCTGCCTGCGCAGTGTGACCGTTGTGCATGTCTCTGTCCTCCAGAAATGGTTCCAGCAGCGCCTGGCCGAGTGGGAAGGTGTGGGGCAGGGTACCGTAGGGCCAGGCCCTGTCTGACGGGGGAATGTAGCGCCTGCTGATTTCCCAAGGGCCAGCGGCGCGTCTGGATCCGGTCTCTCCCCGTGGCCGCGCGGCGCGCTGCCTGCCTGCGCAGTGTGACCGTTGTGCATGTCTCTGTCCTCCAGAAATGGTTCCAGCAGCGCCTGGCCGAGTGGAGAAGAGCCGAAGGGCTCCCGGCGGAGTGCGGCTCCGTCAGAGACTGAGGACGCCGCCCTGAAAACGGCTGCTTTTGCTCTCTCTTCGCACAACAGATTTGCATGCTGCTAAGTGGCCCCTGCTATTTGACACGGTGTTTTATTTCAAGTGTGCACACCCAGGAGCCAGCGTGGCCCCGTCTGGGAGCCTGGGGGGGACAGCGGGCTGCCCCCGGCCTGTCAGCAAACACAGAGACCTTCCCGCGTGGCAGCCCGGCGCCGGCGCTCGCCGGGTGTGCTCAGGGGAGCAGGTGTACCCCGTGTGCGGGGCTAGCTGCACAGAGCGCCTAACCTGGGCCTGAGCCCCGCTCCTGGGACATGACAGTGTGGAAAAGGGAA